AGCCTCATTCCTCTGAAAGCATCCCAATACAGTACGTCGGCTGAGCTTCCGAGGTCTACCAATACCCTTTTCATGCCCTAGTATCTTATTTGTACTTTAATAACCATGAGATCATTTTCATGAGCTAGGACTCCTATGGCGTCTCGTTTTGAGAATGTTACAACATCTAAGTTGCCTTCTGGTTTCTATAGAGATCTCTGGTCGATATGCATGACTACCCTAACATATTTCTTTCTTGCTGAACTTGTTTCTCCGCCACCAGCAAACCCTCCAGCGATGGTGTTTAGCATGTGCCGAGCTGTCTTTGTCTCATGACCCTCTTCGGCATCTAAACTCTTCTTATGGGATGGCTTTTCTAGTCCCAGGTCGTCTCGGCGAGGACTTCTCTTGTTATTTTGTGGTCGAGAATCCTTCACATATGCCAAGAGATGACCTATCTGAGTTAGAGCTTCAATTTCTTTTTTCAGCTGTTTATAGTCCTCAGTGTGATGTCCCTGTATACCATGGTAATTACACCAAGCCTCATGTTGCCTTCCCATGATAGCGTTGGCTCTTTTGGGACGATGAGGCTCCGGTAACAGGTACATATGACCGACTTCTTTAAGGATATCTCCCCTGCTTGCGTTCAACAAGGTGAGGTCTCTGCCTGGCTTATATGATTGTCTGTATGGTCTGGGAGCATGTCGCTCGCGCGTAGCTACCCGAGGATGCTCCTTTCTTCTGTTCGATGCCTCTTTCTTGTTCTTTGTCTTTTCACTGCTGTCCCGAGCTCTGTTCTCTTGGTTACTTTCTTCACCTTTGATGTAACACTCAGACCGAGTAGTGATCTCGTCCATGCTGATAGTCGTCTTCTGAGCTAACAGATCATTGAACTGTCCAACTCGTAATCCATGTTGAAAAGCTCCCACAAATAGTTCCTAGTTTGGATGAGATACTTTGAGGGTTTCCTCATTTAATCGAGCCAGGTACTCACGTAGTGATTCTGACTGTTTCTGTCGAACACTGAACAGTGCGGTCGTTGACACCTTTTGGAACTTGCTTGCCGAGAAGTGTTATGCTAGCTTCTTAGTCAAGTATTGGTAGCTTACGATGGAGAGCTGAGGAAGGCTCATGTACCATCTTAGAGCTACATCCTTAAAGGTACCGACCATGAGCTTGCACTTTAGTGAATCCGAAGGGGCAACTATGGCCATCTGATTGTTAATGGTAATAACATGCTCCCGAGGATCCGTCTTCCCATCATAAGAGGTTAGTGATGGTGCCTTAAAGTTTTCCAGGACGTGGTCATCCCGTATCTCTTGAGAAATAGATTATGACTCAAGAACCTCCTCCTCATGGTCGCCGTCAGCCTGACTTTGTTGTTGCAGAACTTGCATGCTATCTTACAGCGTCTCATTCTGCTGACGCATGACCTCCTTCATGGCTAGCAGTTGAGCCATGTCTAGGGGATCTTCTTCAGATGATATATTTTTAGTGTAAGGTGTGGTATGGGAGAGTTTTACCTAGGCCCCACGGTGGGCGCCAAATGTTCTAGCAAAAACTGGTTAGATACACCAAAAGTGTTAATTCCCCTTGTCCTGGACAAAAAGAACTACACTGTCTATATTGTGAGGGATATTTGGGGATTTGAGAGCTACACTTGTGCTGTGTATTGCCTCAAGATGATTGTGTCTTGCTTAACCCTCACGTGGGAGCCTCTTTTATAGTCTTCCATTAAGATATGCCATTAAGAGAAGTCTATTGACCTTCTAACGTTACATGACCATCATTGCTGTAACCCCGCTTCATAAATGTAGGCTTTGAAGCTCTGGTAACGTCCGTATTGATATGCTGCCACCGTTACAATTGTTGGTATGCCGGTTGAGCTCATGTCTAGCGTAAGTACCGGGTTGATGGGGTCTGCACTCGACTTTCTAAGAGCTCAGCTGATGGGAGTCGAGTTATGTGACTTGTCCGAGTTATAGGAGATACTTGCCTAGCTCTCTGCATTGCTCGACCTTTCTTGCTATCGTAGTTTAGTTCATGCTTAACCTTGTCCGGCTACCCAACTCGGCTTAAAATATATTTGACATGTACAATAGTAATTAGTGGTTTTTCCCTTGCATCAAGAATGACACTATTAAAGGATTCAGACATGTTGTTGAGAACAACATCACATTTGTTTGTGGTTTTAAAGTAAAATCTACTCCAAAATCTTGGCGGGGTCTTCATCATATGTTTAAATTCTTCTTCATTGATGACCCTCATTCCCTTCATTTCTCTTTCTCATGCCTGTGGGTATGTTGACTTGGCAGCCTTCCATATTATGTCCTTCAACATCTTTCCAGGAAACCTCTTTCTAAAATTGTTATAGAGATGCCTAACACAAAACCTGTGCTCCACACTTGGAAATAGCTCATCCATAGTAGGTAGCAGACCTTGCAAGAGAGAAAATAATAGCATAACATACTTTGTTTGCATAACAATAATTGAATACTTGCCTCATGCTGGTATGAGATGAATGTGTATGTCAGACATTGATCTTTGCCTCCAAGGTCATCAATTAATAGCTCTAAAAACCAAGTCCAACTATCCTTGTTTTCACCCTCCACAAGTGCATATGCTATGTGAAGCATCTGGTCATTAGGATCCCTCGCTATGGCACCTAAAATTTTCCCTCCACACAACCCTTTTAGAAAGCACCCATCGAGACCTATTACATGTCTGCACAACCTAAAGCTTTCCTTACAAGAAGCATAACATATGTAAAGCCTTCTAAAATATAGCTTGTGATCCTCAATACCTTCTTGTACAGGATCAACATTGATCTTAACTGTTGACATTGGATTGACTCTTAACAGTACATGACAATAGTCATAGACTCTTGTTAATCTCCCAAAAAAGAACCATCAACATAGTTTCTAGCTGCAAATCTTGCTTTTATTGCTTTGGTTTTGTTGACCCCAACATTTCACTTTTTTTGTGCCTTTTTCTTGATATCCTTTATGCTCATCCTTGGATTGTTTTTCAAGCTATTTGAATTTTTTGCTCAACCACTTTGTACTCACCAACTTCATATTATACTCTCTACTACAACTATATTTGTCAATTACTTTCTTGAGTTGCCAAGAGTCTTCATTTGACAGCTTGCTACAACAAACTTCCCACTCACAACCAACTTTACATCTAACCCTTACCCTAACTCTGTCATTTTTTACAAACCTCAGGTCTCTACCATTTTGCATAGCATAAGATGTTATTGTTTCCTTAAAATCACCTTTTGAACTAAAAAACATTCCCACATCCCATTTGTAATCTGACATGTCGTTTGGCTGCCTGAAAATTGGATGCTTTTTTCTTGGAACTCCACTAGTATCAATATTATCACATCCACTTTGCATGCCCTCACTGTCATTGTCACTTCCTTTATCTTCTACATGCTTTTCTTTATGTTTTTTTTGACTTTTTCATTACCCTCACTTTTATACCCAATTAGGTTAGCAAGTTCATCTTCCTTAATGTCATCATACCATCAGACTCATCCTCAAAATCCACTTTAAGAGCACTATCATAATTTTAGTCTTTATTTTCACTATCATCAGAACATAAGTCATCATTCATTACACCAACTTTACTTTGTATAACTCCAGCATTAACTTCTTCAACTCCAATATTACATTCCTCCACTGCATGATTAATTTGTTCAACTCCAACATTACCTTCCTCCAACCCAACAGTGGCTTGTTTAACTCCAACATTACCTTCCTCCAACCCAACAATGACTTGTTCAGCTCCAACAACTTCATCATGCAGTTTACTAAATAACTCCTCCACCTCATCTACAATTTCAACAGACCCCTCATCAACATTATCAACAACAACATCACAGTAGTTAAGTTGAGACAAAGTGTGTTGAATGTAAATATCAACACTTTGGTGCACCCTATAAAGATCTGCAATTTCTAAGGCACCATTTTCATCAACAAGTGTATTCATCCCAAACTGAGGGTCCTTGTAATATATTGTCTCAAACTCCATATAACCCAAGTCTTTCAATACACCAACTAGCTCAAAATAACTCCATTTGTTGACAAATCATCTACAACTCCATCTTCATATACACTAAGTCATTCATTGATGAATTCACCACTATGATGAATTTTGAGATTTATGTATTCATCCATTATACCTATTCATATAACCTAAATGATTAGAGTTTACACTTAAACAATTACATAAACCCAAAAATTGAACAAAATCACATATTACCTTAACACATTCGTAAACCCTAAATCAGATAGAAATTTACTAACATTTTGATAAACGTGTCTTGAATCGTCTTCAATCCGTCACGTCATTGATGAAACAACCCTATGCACCTTCAATCTGTCACGCCTTCATTGAGATTTGTCCCTTCAATTCGCCATCGCAGCAACAAGATCCTATCTTCGTCGTTTGAGTGTCTGAGTTATTGAAGGAAAGAATACACTTAGATTTGTATTAATACATGTTATATCCACGTCAACAACATAAAAGCCACATGAACAAACATGACACCAATTTACTAGCTTTGACTAACGACAATAGACAGAAGAATAAACGTGACACCATTTTAAAAATTAAAAGACCAACCTGCCACTTTTTAAAATTAAAAAACTAAATTGAACCCCGAAATAAAATTAAAAGACGAAAAGAGATATTTTACGAAAAAAAACAATAACTAAATTTATAATTGGATATTGAAAGCGTCATGGAATAGATCATCTATGTGAATATTAGAATTGGAAAAGTATAAGGTACGAGAAATTAAAGAAAAAGAACGAATCACAATAGAGTTTGGTCAAATGTGAAACATTCAAACGCGTAGGATATGAAAAAATAATGCAAAGGTCAATTCTGTCACCATATATCACTCGGATTTTACTCTTTCTTCTCCTTTTCCTTTATAAAATGAATATCATATTGAAGATTTTATCATAACACGGTTCAATATTCAATACGAGAGAATTCAACACACAAAAATGGCATTGAAGGAAACGTTTTACATATCACATGGATCACCAACACTAGCCATAGATGAAACAATCCCTGCATGGAAATTCTTGACATCATGGAAACAGGTGTTTCCTCATAGACCCTCTTCCATTCTTGTTATCTCCGGTCATTGGGACACATCTGTTCCCACCGTCAACGTTGTTAATCGCAACGAAACCATCCATGACTTTGGAGGATTCCCCAGGAGCATGTACAAGGTTTGTTTTGTTTCATGTCAATGGTACAATAATTTTATCTAATACTCTAGATTTACAATTGTATCATCTTGTTCCTATATTGGCAGCTCAAGTATCCGGCACCAGGTGCACCAAAGTTAGCGAAGAGGGTGAAGGAACTAATCGAATCATCCGGGTTGAGTCGGGTGAACGAAGATAAAAAACGCGGGCTTGATCATGGTACATGGGTGCCTCTGATGTTGATGTATCCAGAAGCTGATATCCCTGTGTGTCAACTTTCTGTTTCATCAAGTAGAGATGGTACATACCATTATAACTTGGGAAAGGCATTGGCTCCTCTAAAAGATGAAGGTGTTTTAATAATTGGATCTGGAAGTGCCACTCATAACATGAGAGCAATAGCTCCTCGCGAAAGCCCTCCTCCTCCCTGGGCTCTCGCATTCGATTCTTGGCTAAAAGAATCTCTCGTCGAAGGAAGGTATGTGTTGCCTTTTAGATCAGTGTTGTCAAATATTGCATATTGGAATTTGAACAGATTGCTATTGTTCGGTGATACAGGATTTAGTATAAAGTGTTGTTGATCATAGCCTTCTCTGAGGACGTGCAAGACAGACAATCACATAGAATCTAAAATTTGTCACGATTAAATTGTGTCTAAATAAGACCACATAAAATCTTTATCGCGGTTAAACTATGGTTATTTAAGATCTCTATTTGTTTTATCATAGTTAAACTACGACTAGTTTACACATGACTTTCAAGAACTTGAGATGAATCTATTGTCAAATTGCAGCTATAAAGCGTATTTGTAGAATTTATTAGCTGTACATGCTCTAATGAAAGTGTTGAATGTATGGATGTTGTAGATATGATGAAATAAATCATTATGAAGAGAAGGCTCCATATGCAAAGGTGGCTCATCCATGGCCAGATCACTTCTTCCCATTGCATGTGGCTATGGGGGCTGCTGGTGAGAATTCAAAGGCCAAGGTTATTCATGAGAGTTGGGATGGTGGTGCTTTTTCTTATGCCTCTTTTGGTTTCACATCAGCTAATTGATACATCAAATTGCTTCCCTATTATATATTCTCCTGTATTTTATGTAATAATCAAATAAAATGTTGGAAGTGAATATTCACTTATTAGTATACCAACATTAAGGTTTGTCATCTTCAAAAGTATCATATAGAGATCATCATTTAGTAGCAGAAAGTGAAAAACATTAACTTCTTGCTTTGTATTTTGAGGATAAATCATAATGTTTATTTAGTGATACAAAATGTTTGATTTGGAGTAAAGAGTTGCCCATGTTCATTTACATCAAGTTTTAGTCAAATAAATAACAAGTTTAGTTCAAGCTTTGTGAAATAATGAATTTTCTTTAGCGCTCAACAAAGTTGACCTAGCTTCACCTTCTTTCTACTTCTTCTCCGTTCAACTATGCCGACAGCGATCATCTCTCGGGCGTGTATCATTGCGGATGAGGCCCCAAACCCCTCTGTTCATGTTCAAAACTCAATATCTAAAACAATCAAATCCTTGTCGAAGCTGTTAACAATATGTACAATATACTCTTGAGTCAACTTCCAAAATCTTGTAGACAGGATAGTAATCGTAATATTGATAGAAGAATATTAACTAGGCTTGGAAGCATGTAACCACAATCATGGGAGAGTGGTTTGGCTCAAGGGCTTCTCGCCCCTAACTGTTGTTAGCTTGCGTCTCAAGTTTTCCACTCTTTGGAAATCCATTATGAAATGGGGGATAACATCTCTAAGAAAAGGTTATTTTGAGTTTTCCTTTTCGTTTATGGAGTTTGGCGGAAGAATTAGATCAGTTAACACTTAGAACCTAAACCGGGTTTGCTCAAACTCGACTAGAGACTTTGTCTCTTCAACATTGAAACAAACTTCAACACAAGGTGAGTTTGTATTCATGGCATGTCCCAGTAATATTAGAGGCCCAAGATTTTGTTCCTTATAGCCACTAACATACCAATCATTGGTAAAACCAGTGGTGTGGCGAAGGACAAGATAACTCATGGAACTGAAATGAAACCATTGATGACTAATGAAGAATTCAAGAAGTTGAGTCAGAAATCTCTTCATCAAGCTTAGAATCTGAGTTTGAAGATGTCATACAAGCTGTGAATGATGATAATGTTCCCAAAACTCAACTAGATATTAATAAAAGCTAATACAGAATTGAAAGCAATATAGAGTTCATGAAGAAATCTTGGGCCAACATGGCTGAAATGGAGGATGATGACCTCTTACCAGCACAATTCTGCTTTAATTCAAAGAAATGATGACTTCCAATTGGTTTCATAAAAAATAGAAAACAGATGTTTGGTCTAACTACTATCTATGCCTACACCAATTATATCCAGAGACTAGGGATACCTTTAACCTGGACATTCCAAAGTCCCTGGGTGTTTTATAGGGAATTACAATGTTATTGTTGGTGCTCAAGAATAGAGGTAAGAACCAACGTGCTAGAATACATATTAAGGACTTTTTCAACCGGTATAAATCCAACCATCTCATTCATTTATCTACTATTGACAAATCTCCATAATCGTCTTAAGATAATTCAGTTAGTAGCTTATCCAACCATCTCATTCACCTGATAAATATGTATGTATTTTTATAGTTTTTTTTTCTTCCAAAAAATCCAGAAAAATGCGTCGTTTTTACTGGTTATTTCAAAATATCAAAAAAATGTATTCTTTGTACTAGTTATTTCAAAAAATTCAGTAGTTCAAATCTTACAGTTTTTTTTCCAATGAAGACTAGATGATCAGACATGACGATAGCTACTCAACAGCGTGACAGAGTTGCAGCTACTGCAATGGGGACTCGTGCGAGGAGAGATGATGCCGAGGATTCACATCTTTGGGTGAGAAGAGTATCCCCGACCATTTCTTACAAGAGGTGATTGACGAACGGACAGTTTTGTGCACCCAGTATCCGACGTAGAGGATCTAGACATGCTATTGGATGAACCAGATGTTATGATGATGGAGATGTTGCTGGGGATGTCTAGACAACAACTGAGGATGACATGCAAATGCTAGTAGAGACAAAGGTGTCATATCCTTCTGAGACGACAGAGGTGCCCCATCCTTCTGAGACGGAGGCTCCGATTACTATAGAGATTACTCCGCAGACGACTAATGAAACACATACTACGAATGATATGGAAGTTACTCATCCGATTGAGAAAGAAGTTACTAATTCGGCTCCGACAGAGCCATCTGTGCACACAGATAAAGGGTTTCTTGGAGGGCACAATGACTGTTTCGTGCTCATTGGATATGTCGATCATGTGGCGTTTAGATTTTGGCAGGGAGACCTATGTATAAGATATGATGATGATGTGATTTTATTTATTATTGATACGTTTAAAATAATTGATGCTTTTTACTTTGTTTGGTACAGGACTAACTGCTTTTGAAGGAACCCTCCTACGGGGGAAAGCTGAAGAAGTTCTTAGATGTCATGATGTCACAGGAGGTCAGGGCGATTGTAGATGATTGCAGTCTAATGACACTCTATCATTGCATGTTTTGGGTCAAAGAAACGAATAAAAACAAGTTAAAGAGGAGCGAAAATGAAGAATAAAGGCTAAAGAAAGAGGAAAAAATGACTAAGCATGGAGAAATAGGGACTTAGTGAAAATCAGGTGAAAATGGAGCAAAATCGTGCGGCTACTGAAATAATCACGCGCAACATCGTACACGCGATAGAAAAGTAAAGGTTGTATCGCACGCGTGATGCAAGTTATCACGCGCGCAATGATACTTTTTCTGGGCTTTTTTTTGACGCATTCTCATCAATTCTGAAGACTTTAAAATGAAGAAATTTTGTACTTTTTCAAGGGTTCTGAAATTTTACACGTGAAGGAAGGGTTTACAACACTAGAGAATATAATTTGAGAGCATTTGAAGCTATTAGAGACCAATTCTTCAAGGGATTTCTTATGCAGCCTTCTTATTTGATTTTATTATTGTAATTTGCACTATGAGTAGCTAATTTTCTTTAGGTTAGGTTGTGTTTGATGAACCTATTTTGATATTGTTGGGACATATGTTTGATTTTCTATTTCATGAATAATATGATCTATAATTCTATTCAATTTCACTTTGTTCTTAATGCTTTTTATGTGAGATACTCTTTTAATTTGATTTTGGACACATAGGAAATACTGGTCATTAGTCTATGTGTTGGACCTAGGGAAATTGTTGTGCTCACACTAGTAGACTAGGGATATGAAACTTCAAGTAGTGGCTTAAGAATTAACGTTCTAGTGCATTGTCTAATCTTGCTTACGCTGGTGGATTAAGGATAGAAAACTCCGAGTATAAATTAGTGCACTATACACTAAAGGATTGGGTATTGTGGTTTTGTTAATTCGTCATGGGATTATAATGACGATATCATTCATGTAATACACTGAACATCAACAGTAGAAAAATTGGGGATTCTATGCAATTAAAACTCGAAAACCTCGCGTTTAGTATTTTCTACGCATTGCACAATATTGTCTTGTTAAATAGGTCTCCGTGGATTCAATCTTTTCTATTATTCCTATATTATCAATACACTTGTCGAAAAGTCATCACAATCTCCTTCCATTGGTGAACTGTTTGCTGATCATTGACGACGATCAGCTATTGGTAACCTTTGTTGAGCGATGGTATAAGGATACATCTTCCTTCCATCTTTCATTTGGTGAGACGAAAATTACCTTGGATGATGTATCCTCTACGTTCCATCTTCTCCTGGCAAGTAGTTTATTCACTGGTCCTCTCATTAGCCAGTAGCATGCACGTATTACTACTGTAGATGACTTGGGGGTTAATGGGGGAGTATATGATAGAGGAGTTTAGGTTTAACAGGGGTGCTCACTTTTTCCTATCATGGTTCTAGGATAGGTATGCAGAGCTGGTGCAACAACCTATGTATGAGGCAGCCACTAGAGTATACATGTTACATCATATATGATGTACTATCTTAGAGGATAAGTCCCATGTATATATCGATGCAAAGTACATGTGACTATTTATTCTCCTTGAACATGTTAGATGGGCATGGGGGTGTGTTGCATTGACTGTTCTATATGTCACTTGGAGAGGCGTGTATCTTTAAGACGAGGCAACTTTACGGTTATATAAGTCTATTTCAAGTATAAAAAATTATTATTTCTTATTATTTTAGTTATTTTTATTACATTTCTTGATTTGTCTATGTTATTGTGCAATGCTGGATATACGAGCATTTGCAGTTCATTTGTGAGAGACAGACTATTCCTACCATTCTTGGGCCCACACGAGTCAAAAGATGGAGAGGTAGACATGCACACAGAGGAGATGCTGTGGAGTACAGGGGAAGGATTGATGCGTTGACTATAGACGATATCATCCGGACATCCTATGTGGACCATATAGTGCATTGGCAGTTTGATGACACTTCTCTTTTTTCTGATCATTTGCAATGGGAGACCTTAGTGGCTAAACACTTATTTGAGAGGTGTTTGTGCCAATTTGGATATGTCTAGGACATCCTACGACCAATCCTTGCTATTACATTTGAGGGCATTTATTTTTGGTTTGTTAGTCACATTGTCATCTTCTCTCATGCCTTTAGAGATTGTGCAATGGAGGTTTAGTTTACTGCTCAGTGTGTGTATGGGTACTTGGAGTGGTACCTTAGTGTATCACACTGTTATATCATCCCACCCAGGTAGCATAAAGATGATGTTGGACCTTCTAATATTATGAGACCTTTTGATGACATGCTTCCGCCTGCACCGCCTCCACATGGTGCGGAGGACGCTTAGTGTTTGCAGATGATAACAATTATTATGGATAAACTTATGGGTTTGGTAAACCCAAAGGGTGATGTCTATATTTTGACATCGCAGACATCACACTTAGCCTGTTGGAAACCTATTTAGACTTTATTATCATTTTATTATTATTTGTATATTATGTGTAGTATTACTAAAAGATTTTCACAACATAATTTATTAGATAACATTTTGACACTTCCAATATT